AGAACTTGAGAGATAAATCTGAAAAATGGGAGAGTGAGGTGTCTATATTCAAAATCACTTAATTTTTTGCTTAAAAGTTGTCTTCGTATTTATCACTTTTTAGGCTAAACTGGTAAATGAGTGTCACGTTTTAGGCTAATCTGGTATTTTAGCCCGTAGAAAAACTAATATTAGTCCTCTAAATTAGCTTTGGTTGAAAGGGTTGACATCTTCCACCTAATTGCTAATTTGAGGTAAATAGCAATTTATTAATTTGTTTGTGTTGGACCCAAATTGAAAAATGTGTCATGTCGAGGTATGTTAGGGCACATTGATGTTTTGTTGGTGAAGTGGCCTACAAACCATAGATCTTTCTCATTTTTACTTAAGATGTCATGTGGAATTTTGATTCTTGTTATTATTTATCTACTATGTTGCGCTGCCAGTTAGTGTAAAGCTATAATATAAATGTTCAAACTATACATGTCTCCGGGACCTGTATCTCTGGGATCTGTTTAAACTGTATAAGGTTGCATGCTTTCACGTGATGACCATGCTATTTTTGTATGTGGTTCAAAAGACATTTCATATTATTGAGGCCACATTCTTTTATACCAAAAATATGGGTACAGCTTATTCAAATTTACCATAGAGAACATGTGATGATTTTTTTCAATTGATTTATACTAAATACTATCATGATTTTGTGAAGTTACATAATATCACAGCCTTCATTCCAGTGTCTCTGCTGTCTCAAGGTTTTTCACTCAAGGATCCTTTCCATGATATAGCCTATAAAATGATAATTATTAGATGACAGATAAAAAACAAGTGAAGGAAAGCTGTTACTTATTAGGCGAATGGTTTCTTTTTCTCCTTCAATAATTATTAGATAATAGGACTACTAAACCTTTCTTAAGGGATTTCGTTTTCTCCAATCATCATTTTGTCCATGGATATATTCTTACACATTGAAAAAGTATACCATGTACATGATAATTACCCCTGTACATGATAATTACCCACCCACAACCTACCTGCTAAACATTTTCACCTTTTGGTGAAGAATAGTTTCTACCAGAACTTTCCTAGCATCAAAGATATTAATTTTTGAGTACTTTTTATATATCAATATGCAGATATTTGGTTCAATTGGGAGTGTGTCTGCTGCGTTTGTAGTGGGCAAGGAAGGTCCAATGGTTCACACTGGAGCATGCATTGCATCTTTACTCGGCCAGGGTGGGTCCCGGAAGTATCATTTGACTTGGACGTGCCTTAGATATTTCAAAAATGATAGGGATCGGCGAGACTTGATCACATGTGGATCTGCTGCGGGTGTTGCGGCTGCCTTCAGAGCCCCTGTTGGGGGTGTTCTCTTTGCCCTTGAAGAAGTTGCTTCTTGGTATCTCCATGATCCTATCTCACTCATTTCTTTTCCTTTTAGGGTGAATTACAAGATGCATCTATACTGTGTTTTTCAAGAAACCTACTCGTCAAAAAAGTTCAACGAAGACTTCATCTATGATGATTAACGAAACCATTAGGTTTTGTAAAGGAGTTTGGTTTTTAACTACTTTAGCTGAAAACTTGCTCCTAAAACCTTGAATTATAAAGTGCAGATTTTTGTGCACATGCCTACTTAAAGTGCAAACTTTTGTACAGATGTCTACCTGAGTAGAGACGTCTGTTCAGATGACAGACGAACACAACTCCTACGTAAAACAGTTTCATTAAAACTCATACATGAGGGGGGTTTTGTTGAACTTTTTAAGGGGATTTCTTGAAGAACACGTTATAGGTGAAGATGATTTCTTGTAATTTACCTTCTTTTACAGTTTTATATCTGCATTTTGATGAGACTCTAGTGGTCTAGCATACCATTATTTCTTGGTTATTGGTGTATTAAAAAGAAATGGAAAGATATTTAGTCAGACAAGAATAAGTCTTTTGCAATCTACCTCCTATTTTAGCATAAATATTCCATGACATTTAAGCCTGTTATGTTACGACAAGTAACCATCTTTTTTTCAATATTAGGTGGAGGAGTGCTCTTCTGTGGAGGACATTTTTCACCACTGCAGTAGTTGCGGTGGTATTAAGAACTCTGATAGAATATTGCCGCAGTGGAAAATGTGGACTATTTGGTAAAGGAGGATTAATTATGTTCGACCTCAGCTCAACTACTACCACTTATAGTGCACCAGATTTAGCTGCAGTTATACTTCTGGGAGTCATTGGAGGCCTCTTCGGAAGCCTTTACAACTTTTTTGTTGACAAGATCCTTCGCACATATAGCATCATTAATGAGTAAGTTCCCTTAGCTTTATTTTCATTCCCCCTTATTAGCTTTATTTTCGTTTCCCCTCTTAACTTTAAAAAAGTGACTTGAGTTTTAATTTTCAGGAGAGGTCCACGATTCAAGATACTTCTTGTTGTCATCATCTCTCTCCTCACATCATGCTGCTCCTATGGACTCCCTTGGCTCGTGCAGTGCACTCCATGCCCTTCTGACGCCCTAGATAAATGCCCAACAATTGGTCGTTCAGGCAATTTCAAGAATTTCCAATGCCCTCCTGGCCACTACAATGACCTAGCTTCTCTTTTACTCAACACCAATGATGATGCCATAAGGAACCTCTTTAGCGGGGGAACTAATAACGAGTTTCACGTATCCACTCTTATTATATTTTTTGTTGCCATATACTTTCTTGGCCTCGTGACCTATGGTATCGCCATTCCTTCAGGTCTCTTCATCCCTGTTATACTTGCTGGTGCCTCTTATGGTCGGTTAGTAGCGCACATTTTCAACCCGATATCTGACCTAGATAATGGGCTATTTGCGCTTCTTGGGGCAGCTTCTTTTCTTGGAGGGACTATGAGAATGACTGTCTCGGTGTGTGTTATACTTCTAGAGCTTACCAATGATCTATTAATGCTCCCATTGGTGATGCTCGTGCTCCTAATATCTAAGACGGTTGCGGATAGCTTTAACAAGGGGGTTTATGATCAAATTGTGAAGATGAAGGGGTTTCCTTATATGGAGGCTCACTCGGAGCCTTATATGAGAAATTTGGCGGCAGGGGATGTGGTATCGGGTCCACTCATTACCTTTTCCGGTATAGAAAAGGTGGGAAATATAGTTCATGCGTTGAAATCGACAGGCCATAATGGATTCCCAGTTATTAACGAGCCACCATTTGCAAATGCAACGGAATTGTGTGGGCTTGTGTTGAGGGCTCATTTACTTGTTTTGTTGAAGAAGAAGAAATTTTCTAAGGAGAGGGTGGATATTGGTAATGGGGAGAATTTTCAGAGGTTTGGGGCCTTTGATTTTGCAAAGGGGGGATCGGGGAAGGGAATGAAGCTGGAGGATTTGTGTGTGTCGGAGGAGGAGATGGAGATGTATGTAGATGTGCATTCGATCGCTAATACTTCGCCTTATACAGTGTTCGAAACAATGTCTCTAGCGAAAACTGCTGTTCTTTTTAGGGAGTTGGGACTCAGACACTTGATTGTAGTGCCAAAAACAACAGGGGTACGAAATCTCCCTCTCTCTCTCTCAACTTCAAACTGACAACTACTATAACCTGTGTCCATGTTGTATAAACGACAGGAGATTTTATATTCTCTCTCTCTCTCTCTCTCTCTCTCTCTCTCTCTCTCACAACTTTGAGCTGAATCTACTAGAACCTGTGTCCATGTTGTAAAAATGACATAAGATTTTTAATTTTCACTTTGATATGAAAGTTTGCCCAATTTCGTACTTTGATACCCAAAGTATTTCGTTAACATTTTGCTACCCCAACTTTCCACTCTTATTTCACTTTGATACATCCATCCAGATTCTGTTAGGTTATCTGCAAAATTTATATCATATGCTTAGTACGTTATACCTCCATTGCTACTGGAAAATTTAGTTGTTTGGACCCCTAGCAACATGGTAAAATGGACCCAAATGTAATACATATTTAACACAACATTTAATGAAATCGGGGTTGGGCTATCAAAGTGAAATGTTATTGAAACAATTGGATATTGAAGTGTTAAGCAAATACTTTAGAATATCAAAGTGAGAAAATGGGTACACTTTGGGGTGCCAGACTGAAAATAAGCTTTAATAATTTGTTATGTAGCTGTTTATTAGGTGGTATACTGCTCTTTTTTTTTTATATTTGACAAGTTTGATAGACAGCGTATAGTAATATATCAAGAACTGTTTTTATGAGGAGTCATTTCAGCTATGAAGATTATTATATCTGGTTGAAATAAAATAAGGCGCTCTGGTCTTCCTACTATAGCAGATCCTGTTGTACAATATACATGCTACTGACTTCTTTACATGAAATACTGATTATTGTGCAAACTAAACTATTTTTTAGATCTATGAGGATGAATTTATTTCTAAAAGAAATCTGCTTAGTTATTGACATGCATAACATTGAAATAGAAGAAAGTTCCTGTTAAACATAACGATGATCCCTGCTTTACATTTTGGCGATCTCTCCTAGATGCATTATAGTAAAATTGTAGCTTATATGATATATATTAACATTGTTTGTTTCTTGCCCGGATGTACTATCTTCAATCTAGGTTGTAGATTCAAGATGTTCATCAATTTTGTCTTGTACATTTCAAAACCCCAGATTTAACATATAAGCTTTTATTCGGTAGAAAAAGAAACATGTTTTAAGCACAATCAGACTTTTGAATGTGATATTAGGCACTTCTATTCACAAACCATAATTTTTTTGTACCTTGTGAGTTTTCTCATTTTCAATGCAAGTTCAATAACAAAGCATTTACTTCTTTATGCTTTACATTTATCTAATTATATACTAAAACTAGCTTTTCATTATTGGATCACACAGCTTTTTACTTGAAATTCTGATTGTTTTTTTTTTATTCTTTTCTTTCAGAGATTTCCTGTTGTTGGGATTTTGACGCGGCACGACTTCACTCATGAGCACATTGTTGGACTCTTTCCTAAAATCAAAAAGCACGGGTAGAGGCGAGAAAGAACCATCAAGTGCTCTTTGTTTGTATTTGCTTTGGTTTATGTCCATAAATTTGCGAGTTATTATATATCATCCTAAGCTTTTATGGTCCCAGTTTTTCTTGGAGATGGGTGGAACTCGGTTGTTGGGAGTGCCAAAATCTGAAGGAACTTAATTCGAAGTTCATACAGCAGATGATCTATAATTTGAAGCTTCTCTATAAAAGTTAACAGAGGGTTCTTTGTAGTCTCAGCTGCTGGATTTTTGGCAGTATGCATACTGGAAATCTGCTCTTCGTTGTTGCAATATCTATTGTAATTTTTTTTTTGATTTGGTGATGATTAATTGGACCTATATGCAATTTTACAATTTGTGGAATAAGAAGAGAGAAAAATCCCTATGGCATACTAATTTGTTTTTGAGCTCACATTCTTCACATTCAATTACTTGATTCTTTGTTATAGGCCTCTTTTCAAGTCCCAGGGATTATCTGGAAAAATATGCTCCCAGTTGCTATCATGTGAGTAAAAAGTTGTATAATAGTTACAGATATTGGAATTTCTACGTTACAGGGTATATTTAGTTGGATTTAATAGGAAAAAATGTGTTGCAAGTAGCATAACCACAGAGGTAACAAATATTTCATGGAATATGAAGCCGTTCTTGAACATTTTAGCGGATGATTTTGTTGAAGAATCCAAAGCTTATTTTCCAAAATCAGTTCATCCACAAAGGTGGAAGCTTCAGATATCCTTACACATCATCAGTTTTTGCATCTTTTAGAACGTTGGAGAAACTGTAGCCAATATACATTAATCATGAGAGCTATACAGTTCGTCTATGTTGTTATCGCCCTCTCCGCCATGAAAACTACCCATTCTTATACATAGTGTTATGATCTTGCACTGTTCAACGGGAATATTATACACAAGAGTATTTGGAGTCTACTTCTAGTTTTAGTTGAAATGTACATTCTTCTGACTCATGTAATTCTGGCTGATTCCCGCGAACTTTCTGGATGCTGACCATCGACGAGGGCTCAGTGTGCATTCTCCTCCTTGTATCATTTTTTGGATTAACCGGTATGATTTCTATGCTTAGAGGCTAGAGCACAATTAGATTCTTGTGGAAGATTAAATGTATATATTGACTACGAGATGTCAGCAGCTATGATATTGTTGCGTTGTATTGCTTTGTATCAGAACTTCAGGTACTTACCACGTAGATTATTTACTAATGATTTCACTCTTGTTTTTGATATGCCTCATATATTTGAGCTAGATGTTCTCTCTTTAGATTGCTACTTTGTATTGAATTTAAATCTGAGATGCTTATATTATTGCAAGCGGCCTTGAATTCCTTTTTTTTTTGACACATCTAGCAAAATGAAATAAAATAAAAGCATTAAAAGTAGTAGAGTTCTATATTTTGACTCGAAAAACAAATACTGAGTAACTGAATTTGATTTTTTTTTCCTTCAAAATTTATTTATCTAATGGAAAAATGAAGAAGTTGATGTCCATTTTGTACTATATCCGAATTATATACATTTTGTTCTAACATCCACCATGTAATCTCTTCACTCCAGTGGGGGTATGAAGCTAAACCACAGTTAAACATTGAGCACCAATCAGTCCTAGTTATTAATGATATAGGTGTTGCTCGTATAGCTGCAATCATGAGAGTTATTGCAGCTAGTCTGTGCCATTGTCATCCTCTTTGCCATGAAAACTACCATTTCTTCCACAAATATTATGATCTCTCGCTGTTTAGTGACAACATTGTACATACAGATTATTTGGATCTACTTGCAAAGTTTGCTAATACCCACCCTCTTCAATTCTAACTCATGCAATTCTGGCTGATTCGCAAGCTATTTGGATGCTGACCATCGTGCATGTAATTTCCATTCTCCTTCTTGCAGCATTTTTCCGGAACTTTTTGCATGATTTCTATGTTTAGAACAGAACTAATTTTTTTGTAGAAGAAATCAACGTATTGTCTATGTATGAAGGCAATAATGCCCTCGATTTTGACACCAAAAACAATGTCAAACGCTATGGAATTTGATTCTCCGCTTCTAATTTGATCCCACGCGCGGAAAGATAAAAATATCAACTTTGATGCTATACTGAAATCATATGATCATTTTGCACGAACATTCATCATGCAATCTATTTATCCCTAGTAGGGGTACGAAGCCATGCAACAATTATGCATTAAGAATCAAGCAGTCTTAGTCAATAATGATAGATGTGTGTTAGTTGTGTAGTTACAATCATGAGTGCTATACAGTTCATCTTTGCTATTGCTGCCCTCTTTGCCATGAAATGTACCCCTTCTTATACTACTAGTATTGAACAAATTTTGACTGTAGCCCCACTTTTAATTTTTATTATCAAAACCGACCTCCCTCTATTTTATTTACCGGAATCGACCCGGTTTCTCGCCACGTCAGCGCCGTGGCGAGAAAGCGGGTCGATTATTTTTTAATCGGCTTCGTAAACAGACGGGGTTGGCAACCCCGACCAATTAGCAGAGCCCAGCCCCGCTGGTTTTAACCAGTGCACGAATTGGTCGGGGTTGGGAACCCCGACCAATTCGAAATGGTCCTATTTCGAATTGGTCGGGGTTCCCAAACCCGACCAATTAGCAGAGCCCACCCTCCGCTGGGTTTGGCCAGGGACGAATCGGTCGGGGTTCCCAACCCCGACCATTAAGCAGAGCCCCAACCCAGGGCCAGTGTAGGTGCACAAAATGGTCGGGGTTCCCAACCCCGACCATTTTACAGACCTTCCAGCCCACATTCACCTGCAAACTCATACTTCCAGCCCACATTCACCTGCAAACTCATACTTCCTGTAGTACAAAATGTAATCACAAATAACACATGTTAAAATGCAATCATACTCCTGTTATCAATCCACAATGAAATCACAAACACAAATATCATACGTACAATTCATATTCGCAAACTTAACATTATATCAAATCCATCGCAACACAAACAACATATCAAGTCCAAATTGCAACTCAAACGCAAACATCCTATCAAGTCCATCGAAACTTAACAAATATCAACAACGCCCTTTCCCCTCCCTCTTCCTCTACCTCTCACTCTCCCTCTTCTTCCTCTCCCCCTTCCCCGTTCACCTTCGACGTGAGCTCGGATAAGTTCCTCGTCCGGTTGTGTGTGAAGTTGGGAGCGCATGACATCCGCGTCGACTCGAACCGCTTGTGAACATCCGGCCTGAGCCTGCTGTGAGCCGCCAGCTTCATCATGCGCACAGCTTGATCCCTCCCCCGTGTGTCCTCGTCGACGTCGCCACCCGTACTCAATTGGTCGCTCCTCCCGTCCATCACGGCTTGCATTAAGCGTCCTCTAAAGAGCCGACCATATCTTTTTATCATTCGAAGGAACGTGTTCCTCGGCTCCTGCTCGGTAGTCGTGCGCAATGCGTCATGTGCCATAGTAGAAAGCTCTTCGAGCTCTTGTAGCTATAAAATAAAAACCGAAAGAAAATTATTATCAAGTGGATGGTGAGAAAATAAAACTCAGAAAATAATTGTATATTTTTCTTATACACTTACCAACTCTCTCTCGACTGGGCCTCTTGGTATGTACTCCTTCGGGGCTTTGTTTTCTTGAAATATCCACCGGCGAGTAATCCCCCAATACCACCGCAGGTACACACCTAGGTCAAGTGCATCAGCCCTCTCCATCACTACCTGTTCCTCCCTTAAATCCCACCTCTGGATGTAATTTTGGCGAATTATTTCCCAATTAGCACGATGTGCACCTTTTCTTGGATCTCTCTCTATTCTCTCCACAGGCGCTGGAATATGTTGCCGTAGTCCAAATTGTCGAAGCACACGGTCAGGCACGTGCATTTCAACAATCATAAAGCATATAAGTGGGATCCGAGCACGCCATACATCCTCACCTTCCCGACAAATATCCTGTAGTGACTCCAACACTAGCTCGTATGGCATCCATTTGACCTATAAAGAATATATTATGATATATTGATTGAATATATTTAGATATCGGTAACAATTGGTCGCATAATTGAATATATTTAGATATTATAATTTTTATACCTGTTCATCCTCTATCTGATCAAGCTCATTTCTGTAAAAGTTTTCATGCCCCTTTGGAGAGGTTTGCCAAGATCTAGACACATTCCATCTATTTTATATACAACGGGTTAGTATTTATTGAAATAAAGCACTGAAATTGCATGCATCTTAATAATACCTGCAGCCTAACGGAATATGGCCATCGAGAGCGCGGGCCTCCCTCAAATCAGGTGTTCCCAAATGCAATCGCTCCCATGATCATATCTGCAGCAAAGTGAGGCCGCCCTTCAATTCTTTGTTTTGTACGAGTGTTATTTTCGTCATCTCTCTATACAAGTAGTCTAACACTGCACTCTCCCAAGATAACTCTTCATACTCTGATAGGTCCCCAAGAAGCGGTAACCATCTCACGTGCACAGAATCGTTAGTGGAATCCGGAAACAGAATAGTACCGATCATATGTAAAATATATGCACGGGCATAGCACTTAATGATCTCATCAGTCACATCGATCGGTACATTCATAAAGTTATTCCTTAACCATTCGAGCTTGATCTTTCCCCCCTTCATTGTAGGACAGTGACCCAACAATTCTTCACACGCCCTGACATAGTTGAAGCCATCGGTGCCCGTCACTGCATCACCATCTACTCTGAGGCCAAGTATAACCCCAACATCCTGCAAGGTAATCATCGCCTCTCCTTGGTGCAGGTGGAAAGTATTTGTCTCGGGCCTCCATCGTTCAACCAATGCCGTCAAAAGTGCCCAATCAAGTCTTACCCATTTAAGTTGTGAACATTCAAAAAAGCCGGCTTGACGCACATAATACTGTATCTGTGGATCCGTCAACTCCCAGCTAGAGTGTGCACATAATACTGTATCTGTGGATCCGTCAACTCCCAGCTAGAGTGTGCACGGGTATGATCAACAACAGTAATACTCGGGGCCTGCATGTAGTAAACAGTGCAAATGTTCAGTAACAATCAACAACATTGAAATTTATATATAATTAAAAATAATAAAAATGCACTTTACCTCCCTAGCGTCTATCTTCGCGGATCGGTGGCGCTCTTGATCATAAAGGACATCATGTGTTAATGGACCAGCCTCCATAACTGAAATATCTGCACATATAATGATGATCCATTAATTGATCTATAATTGAGTTAGAAAAAATTGAGTTTATTATAAGCATTGATTTATAAGCATTGTTTGAGTTTTTTTTAAGCATTGATCTATAAATGAGTTAGAATAAAATTACAAATGTATAAAATTGTACCCATTAATTGCTATCAATGAGTTAGAATAAAATTACAAATGTATAAAATTGTACCCATTAATTGCTATCTATTTGGATTGGTCGGGCAATGAGATCTTCTATGC